ATGAGATGGAAAATTGTTGGTAAATTGGAGGCAGGTCAATCAGAAGCGCAGTTGACTACTGAGCTCAATGCATCATCCAGCGTCGTAATCTGTAGTTTATCGAAAACGTTTTAGGACACTTAATCCATATCGAAAAGACATAGACAAGATCGGCCCAAGATCTACAACGACGAAGGAGGATCGTTATTTGGCACTTACATAATGGCGACGCGGGACTGCTACAGCTTCATAGCCCTCTTGTGAGATGTATGCAGCCTTTGGAACCCGAGTTTCATGATCTACAGCTGCCCGAATGCTTCTTGAGTTAGAGCGGTATGCTAAAATACATGTTGATTGTGTCCCTCTCACTGCAATACACAATATAACGCGTTTAACATAGTGCAGACAACATTTGCATTGGAGTAAGCTTCAATGTAGAATGATCCTTTTTACAGATGAGTCAAGGTCCAGCATGAACGCTGATTCTCAGTGTTATGTCCTGGAGCAAAAACAATTTTACTTTACACCTGACTGCCACTAGGTCCGACATAGCAATGTGAATAATCTAAATCTAAAATTTTAAAACACAATTCCAGAATTTTAAATGTTTATTTAATAGAATTCTATTCATATATATGCAAGTTATACACTATAAACACAATAAACAAAATTTGAACTTATCTGCACCAGCGTGAATAAGCCTGGCACAATATTCTGAACTCGACGCAACTTTAGGAGGAAAAATACCGCAAATTCAAACACAAGGTTTCATCCTTTCCAACGCAGCTAATTTTCTAAATATATTTTACTAATATCCGCAGCGGGACAGCGGATTCGTTTCATTCACCCAAAACTCAAATGTTTTAACGCAATAGTATCGCAAAGAAAAACATCGACTCACAATCAAAATATTAAAATCTATAGAATATTATCCGCTGTTGCCATTCCAGCACTGCCAAGTTTTTCTTCCTGCAGCTGTTGCCAGACTTATCCTCACTGTATGATGAGAGGTACAACATCCTCCCACCCTAATTTTCTCAAAATCAGACATTGCACAAAGATTTCTAACATTACGAAAAAACAAAACAGTACTATATATTAGTTTAGAAAACACATAAAAGAAACTCGGTTAACATACAATATATATGACAGATCATACTAAAATGAGATCAATAAAGAATAAACTTCTAATTAATGTCATTGCTAAAGAAAAGAGGATATAAGTCCAAAACGTCTATATTTTACATTATTTCTATGAGCATGTCCTTGGTTTTAAGAGTCTACCGTATTTAGATCTGTTTTCAGTTGCCAGAGTTAGCACAGGATCACTGGTAGTTGAAACTTCTAGTGGATACAGTTTTTTTATTGGTCTTACCAAATATCCACTGCTTGTTTTTACCTGTACCACTCTGGTAGCCCCATCTCTGCTACTGAATATTTTTTACAATTTTGCACATTGGCCACATTACACATTTTTTATTGTCTAGTTCTATGAGGACTACATCCCCCACCTTTAGGTTTTGACATGAAGCGCTTGCCTTCTGCACTAGTTGAGCCAGATATTCCTTGCGGAAGCGACATCTCAGTTCTTGTCTCAATGTATTGCAGTAATTTACACGGCACATTCAGTTTCTGGGAATCGATGTAATCCAGATCTGGTACCCCTAACTTGTTTTATGTCTTGCAAAAACAGGGAAGGTGTCAGAGGTACGAGCTCTTCCGAATCATCATAGATGTACGTTAAAGGACGGTTGTTAATGTGGATTCAACATCACACAGGACGGAATCAGTAACTCCTCGAAATTCACCGACGATCTCCCTAGAATTCGCACGAGAAGAGTCTTGGTGGAACGAACTAAGCGCTCCCCCCACCCCCACCACGCAGCCGTAGGGGGGTGAATTTCCATTTTATTGGAAAACACTCGTTTTCTGTGATTTTTCTCCAATCCAGGCATCTCAGAGCATTGTCTGCTCCAGTAAAATTGGTTCCGTTACCTGAATACATTGTCGCAGGACGGCCTCGTCTGGCAATGAACCGTCCCAGAGCCTGTAGAAACGTTTCGGTACTCAGAGAGGTGACAGGCTCTGGGTGAATTGCCCGGTATACGGCGCAGGTCAACAAGACGGTCCAAGCTTGTTCACCTGCGCTTTGGTCTTTAGTCTCAGAAGTAAAGTTTCCACAAAGATCGACTCCAGTTGTTTCAAAGACTGCCGAATCTCTTATTCTGTCAACGGGTAACTGGATCGGAGGGGTAGATAAAGCCTTAAGTGGTAAATCTCCTACATACTACACATCGACTTACGCAAGATCTCATATTACGTTTCGACGAAAATGATCCAGTATCGCTCTTCTTAACTTAGCAGCTAATATCTGCACTCCCGCATGACAGTTCTTTTCATGATACTCTCTTATGAGGCATTCAGTTAAGTAATGCTTGGACGGAAGCAACAGAGGATAAAGGAAGCAGAATTCATCATCACGTTCAATGATTTTAGTTTTAACTCTGAGGATTCCGTCGTTGTCTCTCACTACCAATAATCCATGGACGGAATCTCCTTTCTCTTGAAAGTGCTTCCTTTGCTCTAAACTCCACAAAAATGTTTCGGCGTTAGTTTTTCTTCTACTTTTAAGGTATCCGAAGAATACGAGGGCTTCTTTAGGAGTTTATTAGTAAAGCGTAGAACCCAGCAGAATACTCGAACTATTTTAGAAAAACTGGAAAAACGTTTGTACCACTCAGAATCTTCTAATTTTATACTCAAATTGACAATTACTCCCTTCTTAATTTCTGCTGCAACAGAATTTTCGTCTGGAGTAAACTCAAAGTCTGGCAATTTTTTCGGAGAGCTTTTCAGAAATTCGGGGCCCTCCCACCAATTGCATTGCCGCAAATGTTCAGGCGTACAGCCACGAGATGCCACATCTTCCGGATTCAATTTCCCAGATATATGTCTCCAACATTCCTGCTTCGAGAGTTTCCGAATCTCCTTTACTCTATTATTCACAAATAGTCCCCCGTTTTCCTCTCGTTGTATCCAGCTAAGAGCCACAGTAGCGTCTGTCCAGTAATATATTGGGACATCGACTAAGCACAGGTGACAGGTGACAGCAGGACAGGGCACCCGGACGGCTTTCTATGACTACTCGGGTATTACCCTGGCCCTGCAACCATCTTGAGTCTTCACAGTTGTAAGATGCTTTTATGTTTATTGCAGGTGCCCTATTCCGGCCTGCAGAGGTCTATGCCCATTTTTTCTAGTTTGGCCATTATGCATTTAAGCTTCTGCCTCGTGCCTCGATGTTTTATGAGAAGGCCTTTGAAAGGCAGAACATTGGTAGTTGGGAATTTTTATGTGCCATTCTGCTGTTAAGGGGCACTCCGTGACATAATGGTCTGGTGAGCCCACTTTGCCACAAACACACATATCAGTTGTTGCTAGACCCCTTTCTGCAAAGTACGTCGGAAAGGGGCCGTGGCCTGTTATATATCGCGTGAGGTAGGTATATATCGCGTGAGGTTTATCGCTGAGATGAGCCGGTTCCACCTCTACCTTAGGCAGGAACTCATATGCTCTGCGGCCTTGCGGGATTTGGTCCCATTCATTCTGCCAGTTTCCAATGGCGGACTCCTCTATTTGCCTCTTTAGGCATGACCGGGGCAGGGGCACCTGAATCTGCTCCGTTTCCTCAGTTTGGGCAGCCTTCTTGGCAAGAGCGTCTGCTGCTTCATTTCCCTGGATTCCGGCGTGCGCCTTCACCCAGGAAATATGGATTCAAATTGACTTTTCTTGTAGACGGAGGACTTCTTGCAGGTGCGAGATTAGTGCGGTGCGCTGGAGAGGGTTGTTGATAGCATAAATGCTTGACAGGCTGTCAGTAAATATCGTAGCTCGACTCTGCCGTGTGTCAATTGCCCATTTCACTGCCTTTGTGAGGGCAACTACTTCCGCTTGGAACACTGAGTTCTGTGCTCCCAGACGGCCCTTCCATTCCTTTGGCTATGTTTTCCATTTATATAGGCTATATAGGCACTGCCTACAGCGTTATCAATTTTTGACCCGTCTGTATAAAGCACGGCCCCTGGTCCGTCTAAGCGCGGGGTTAACGCTGGTGTGAGTGGAAAGTCCTTATGCCCAGTCCATATTCCGACGGATGTGTGCTTAGTTTGGACCTGCGTGTTTCGTAGACTTCTGGCAGATAGCATGTATCCCCATATGTGCATGGCTGTTGGAGTTGCGTCACCTTTGCAATTGAGGCTTCTTGCTGCGCTTTGATTGGGAGCGGCATAAGCCCTGCTAATACCGAAGCGGCCGCAGTCGACGTTGTCCTGTAGGTCTTCGTTATGGCCAGGACAAATGGTTCGCTGTGCACTACTTAGCAATTTTGCCTTTCTGACTGTCATCGGGGCTGCCCAGATGGCTGCTCCGTAGGTTAGGACCCTCTCCGCGACAGTGGAGTAAAGTATCTTGTAGATATTGGGCCGAAGGCCCCAGTGCGGGCCTTGCATTTTTTGCAGATTGTTTGCGATTCGGCGAGCCTTTTCTCTTTGGGCTTTAAGGTGAGGCATCCAGGTGAACTTTTCATCCAATATAATACCCAGGAGTTTTAGTTCTCTGACCCTTTTGATGGTCTTCCCATTAAGCTGGATGGTTGGGTTTCTTATTAAAGTTTGGCCTGGCTTATGATAATTATATATTTCGATTTTGCCTCAGAAATTATTAGCTTTTTCTCCTGGCATAGCCGAGAGAAGGTATCAATTACATCATTGCAGTTTTGCTGCAGTTCATCTCTACTCTTGCCGCGCACCACAAAGGTCGCGTCATCCGCAAAGGCTACTATCTGGGTATGGGACGGCCATTCGTATCATAGTATGGAATCGAAAGTTGCATTCCACAAGTCTGGACCCGCGCACGATCCCTGTGGACAGCCTTTTGTCTGGCTTCTGGTTATGACACCGCCAGTGTGTGTTACTATGAACTTTCTATTGGACAGATATTGCTTGAAAACCTGCAAGAGGTTATCAGGGATCCTTGCCTGGTGCAGTGCCTCTAAAATTGAGGGCCACTCGACTAAGCACTAAGCACAGGGTTTCAACAGTATACCTTGCCAAGCGTGCACCTAGAACACAGGCTAGCAACTCCAAACGCGGAATAGTTATTTTCTTTAAGGGCGATACCCGTGATTTTGTTATGACGAATTTCACAAAAACTTTGTCTTCTTCCTTACTTCGTAAGTAAATGACAGTTGCATAAGCAGCTTGACTGGCATCGCAAAAGACGTGTAGAGTCCATGAATCCCTAATTCCATGACCCATGCGACGAGGTAATTTAAGGCTGGAAAGACTAGGCAACCTTTCGTACCATCTCTCAAATCTTGTTTGAAGTTCATCCGGTAATGGCTTATCCCAGGTCGATTTTGTTGCCCAAGCCTCTTGAAGAATTAATTTCGCAGGTAATATGACGGGCACAAAGTTACCTAGCGGGTCAAAAACAGCATGGATTAGAGACAATAGTCTCCTTTTTGATAAGTCTCTTTTAACGATTTCTCTTTGGACGGATATTGTAAGGCTGTCATCTCGTCGGTCCCACAGCAAGCCTAGAACTGCGGAGACTGGATCTTCAGCTGCTAGCTCTTGATCACCATATTGATTAAAAGTTCACATTCGAAGATCCATTTTGGCTTCTGCCATAATAGTAATCGAATGGCTCATAAAAACCTTTAGCTCTTCGTTATCATCGACTGACGTGACACAATTGTCAACATAAAATGATTTGGAAAGTTTATTCGCAACAGCTTTGAATTCAGGTGAAACGTGGGACAAATGAAATGAAATCACAGCTGCCAATAAATAAGGGTTACTAGTTAACCCAAAAACAACCCTCCTTGTGACGAAACAACTTCATTCTCTTATTTACCCACCACAAAAACTTTAAATAATTTTGATCCTCACGCAATCCTACCTCAATGTCGTAAAAAGGCTTGCCTAATATCGTATGTTACACCAATTGCCTTTTCCCTAAACCGCATTAGAATGGCTGAGATTTCTTCTACAAGGTTTGGACCTTTTATCAAGCAATCATTTAGCGAAAGCGAACCAACGACTCGACGCATCGAATACAACGACTCGACGCAACGAAAGCTCGACGCATCGAATACAGGCCTAATCTTGGTAGTGAGGCTACCTAATTTTATTACTGGATGGTGTAGTAAATAATGCCCTCCGTCATTCTTTACTGATTTTGGGGCAATTTCTATGACATCTTCCGCTAGCGATTCGTTAAATACTGTACTATACTCATCAAATTTATTTAATTTTCTCAATTTTCTCGTAGTAGCAAAGAGCCTCTTTTCTGCATTATGCCAGTTAGAGGGAATATCAGGAGGGAATTTTAGAGCCCAAGGTAAACTCATGCAATATCTACCATCTCCGGTTCTGCGAAGGCCCCTAAGAAACTGCTCTTTCGCTGTTTGATCTTCTGCGACCCTGGAAATGCTTTGCGCATCATCTGCAATGCCGATAGTTTCAAACTTCCACATAAAGGAAGGTTCCATGTCTTGAATAAGAAGATTAGTTACTAAGACAGATGGGGTACCCTCAAAACTTTGGATACTCGTTCCTTTCGATTCTCCACACAACGTCCATCCCAGTTTAGTATTTATGGCTGTCAAACCACCCTCAAGCTGAATTACTTCACCAGTAAGTATTTGCCCATAAATATCACTCCCTATGAGGATTTCTATTTCCGGGTGACCCTCACCGACATCTGAAATTTTGATCCAGAAAACTAAATTGGCACACTTTGTTTACCAACCGGGCTTAGACCTATAGAATATCTCTTGTGAGTTTTTGACTCAGTCCTTGTTCCGCCAAATAACGCGTGAGTTAAAGTTTCAGAGGAAGTGCTTTTCAGATTTAAAGTTTCAGCTGTGGATTGTAAAACGTAAGATCGTTGGGATCCACAATCCAAGAGGCACCTGACCACCTTCATTACATTGCCTACAACTATTTCAATCATTAACATCATAAGAGTGACTTCATTCATACATAAGGGAGAGGACATTGTACTTTGTACTATTACTGACCCGTTTCGGTTTCCCTTTTCTGATACCTCCGGGCATAAAATTATAGGGTGAGATCGCCTACACAAATAGCATTGAATAAACTGTGGAAACTTCGTCGCAAAATGCCCTGGTTTAAGACATCGGAGGCAGCATTTTAATTCTCTTAATTTGTCTAATCTTTCTTTTAAGCTCATCGATCTAGCTGTAAAACATTCTTTGCTTTCGTGAGATTTTCCGCAAAAAACACATTTTTGTTCTTTGGCAGCAACTAGACTTGCTCCGCTAGAGATTAGTTTTTGGTCTTAATATTTACATCTTTAGAATGTTCATTGCGCGAAGTAGAAGAAATTTCAAATCCAGACTTGGCTAGTTTAACTCTCTGTCCTACTTCGACCTCTTTACGCAAAAATTCCAGGAGATTTGTGAGACGTGATCCTTCTTTACTGAACAAAACGCTTCTCTGCCATACTCGAAGCACCTTAGCAGACAGACAAGACTCGACCATGGGATATAACCAGGAAACATTAGTATCCAGGGCTAAGCCTAAAGACTCTAGAGATCTGAGATGGGATTCGATTTTGTCAAACAGTGACACTAGCGGCAACCGATCCTTCCCTTGTGAGCGTACATTTTGGATAATTAATTTTAACAATTCCCTCACATATATCTCAGTTAAAGTTTCCGTGTTTCCAAAACGCTCCTCAAACGCAGAAATGGCTTTCGGGTAATTTTCAGCCGTTAAAGGATAACTATCTATCAACTCACTAGCCCGAGTTCCGGGTAACATTGATTGAGCTAAATAATGGAATTTGTCAACGTCATTAAGCTCCTTACCCTCATGGATCTTTTTAAATTAACCCCAAAATGTAAGGTAACTTAATAATTGTCCATCGATTTTTTAAATTTGAATTTTCGGCAACTTGTACCGTTTTTCATTAGAAGCACTTATGCTACTATCCGTGTTAGAACTCGTATTAACGCTACGGTCAACCGCATTATCTATATTCTCTTTCACCCGACGATTAAGCGTGATAAACTCATCTGAATATTCTTCGCAGTCTATAACCTCTGTTTCCAGATCATCTTCAGCGGCTTTTCTCTTAATCATTGACTCTATCTTCTATTTCTGAATCGCAAGATCAACTCAGCAATTATCATCTGCAACTTCAAAATTTTGTCTTTCAATACATCTCTATCCGCTTGAACATCTTTACAAAGTTCGGTTTTTAGAATCTTAGCCGTCCTAGTAAAAGCACTGCGTGCCGTTGCACGCTTTTTCTTCAACATATCAACATCCATTTTTATCTTTAAATGCAGACCCACTTAAAACTCAAAATCTGTAATGTTATCATCAATCCGATAAATCCTCAAAAACGTCTTTACTCAGCAAGTCCAAAAATATAACTCAACATAATAAAAATGAATAACAATATGTCATAACATTCATAATACAGAAAAACAAAATTATTTTGAATATCACAGTAGAAGATTTAACGCAGAACCTTTTCTACGTTTACACTGCAGACGATTTAGCGCATAGCATTTCAACTGAAAATTGAAACTAATTCGAATACAAATACGAAATTCAATATTGCAGACGATAAAATGCATTACGTTTCCAAATAACACCTAAATTAATATTTACTTCTACAATAATATAATATAGCAAACACAATACTTTCTCAACTATATTAATATAGTAATTCCCAACACATTCGAATCAGGATCGCAATCCTGGCTGGCTCGCCATTTTGTTATGTCCTGGAGCAAAAACAATTTTACTTTACACCTGCCACTGGCTCCGACATAGCAATGTGAATACTCTACATCTAAAATTTTAAAACACCATTCCAGAATTTTAAATGTTTATTTAATAGAATTCTATTCATATATTTGCAAGTTATACACTATAAACACAATAAAAAAAATTTGAACTTATCTGCACCAGCGTGAATAAGCCTGGCACAATATTCTGAACTCGACGCAACTTTAGGAGGAAAAATACCGCAAATTCAAACACAAGGTTTCATCCTTTCCAACGCAGCTAATTTTCTAAATATATTTTACTAATATCCGCAGCGGGACAGCGGATTCATTTCATTCACCCAACACTCAAATGTTTTAACGCAATAGTACCGCAAAGGAAAACATCGACTCAAAATCAAAATATTAAAATCTATAGAATATTATCCTCTGTTGCCATTCCAGCACTGCCAAGGTTTTCTTCCTGCAGCTGTTGCCAGACTTATCCTCGCTGTATGATGAGAGGTACAACACTCAGCATACCTGTATCTGGAGAGTATCTGGAACACGGTACCATCCGTCAATCATCAGAAGAAATTATCATTACGGTGGTGGATGTGTAATGGTTTGAGTAGACATTATGTTGGAGCACAGTACAGCTTTGCATGTGTAAGACAAAGACTCTCTGACTGCTATAGAAAGGAGATATTAGTGCCTTATTTTCGAATTTTCAAGAGCTAGTTGGTCCAGGGTTCCTGTTGTTTGACGACAATTCTCGGCCACATAGGGTTTAGCTGGTCTACAATTACCTAGAAAGTGGGGCTAGGGTATGTCATGGATGCTCTTGACAAGGCAGTTTCATCTCTCCATCCGCCTCCGAAACCATCTTGGAGTTAAAAACTGCCTTGCTGCAGGAGTGGGATCGACTACTATAGGGACTAAATATGCCATCACTTTGCGAGTCTTGTCTGGCTAAGATAGATGACCATACCCCATATTAGACTCATTTTTAGTTTGACGCAGATTTTGGGCATCCTTACACAAAGAGCTTTACAGATAATCAAAAAACGACTTTTGAATCGTACATCTCTTTCTCTGTTACAAATGTATATTCATACTGAATTTCATTAAAATCTGCCAATTAGGTTTTTTCAGAAATTCGACATAATGTGCAAATTATTTTATTTTTTCATACGATTGCACATGAATAGCGGGACCATTGCTTGTAGGTCTAACATATTCTTCCTCCAAACGCTTGCCAAGGATTCGCAAAATTCATGGCCCAATGGGTTGTATTTCATTGACGTTCTAAAGTTTGAGCAATATGTTTTTAGGAAAGTGGCCATGATGTTTAGATTGATCAGTACTTATCAATATTTAATAATAAAGGAATATTAACTAAACGATACTTTCAAGAATTGTAATGCGCAGTATCCAAAAGAAATGTTATCTTTCGTATCTAATCAAACGGGTGAACAGAAACGTTTAATTTATTGTTAACAGCAACTAGGAATAAAATTATTCTAGAACTAATGAAAAGTGATAATGATAATGTGGAGAACTGTAAAGTGGAATTTCATATAATTTAAATATTTCATTTTTAAAGTTTGCATATTTAAGAGATTGAATTTAATTCTGTGATTTCTGACTGCATTAATTAATTACAGTAATTCAATGGAGCTATTTTGAGGAAGCGTAAAGAACAGTGTTCATTAATTTGTAGAAATTTTGATTAATTTGTAGAGTGTTAATTAATTTTTAAGTTAATTGGAAAAGTCGAAGAGATGAAAAATTAACAACCGCCGTCGCCGGGAATCGAACCATGGACCTCTGGAATACCGGCCCAGCGTGCTACCGTTACACCACGAAGTCACGCTAGGGAAGTGGAGAAAATACCTTATATACTCCCCTTTTTAAAGAGCGACTGGGATTTTTAGGAGACCCTATCGCCAAATCCTGGGTGCGGAGAGTCATCATCCACAGCCTTTTTAGTTCGGGCTCCACTGTAGAGATATTAGGTTAATTGGAAAAGGCGGAGTGATGAAAAATTAGCAACCGCCTTCCCCGGGAATCGAAATACCTGCCCAGCGTGCAGAACCACTACACCCCGAAGGCATGCTAGGAAATTGGGAGAAATACCTTATAAATTTTAAAAATAGAAACAATGTCTTACTTAAGAGCTCGTAAGGAAGATTCATAAAATCTCGCGGCTGAACTGGGAGTTTATGTGACTGCAGATTTAAAAATAGTCGATTTAAAACAGAAAATTGTTAATAGCAGAGATTATTATGAGGTATTCGTCAAAGGAGTCTTAGACACAATAATACAAGAACGAAAAAAGAGGGAAGAAAGGGAAGAACGGAAAGGGAGGGAGGAAAATGAAAGAGAATAAGTGAAAGAGAAGGAGGAAAGAAAAGAACGTAGGAGGCAGGAAAATGCGGAGAAGAAAAGAACGGTATGATTTAGAGAGATTAAGAATTGCAGCAGAGACAGTCTTAAACTACTGAACAGGTCCGGCAGGAAAACGGAATTAAATAACTTTAAGCAGAAATTCTATGACAAGATAAGAGATATCAGTTTATATTTGCTACTGTTTGAAAGGCAAGCAGAATGGGCTCAAACTGACAAAGAGGATTTTTTATCGCATATATTAGGACTGCCTCTTTATGAAGTAACACAGTTAATAGTTAGAGAACCCTCCGATAAAACTAAAGACTATGAACACGTAAAAGAGTTTAATTTTAAGAAGGTTCAAGCGAAGAGCAGAAAATTTTAGGCAAAAGTTCATAAAACATCAAAAGAGTACCGAATTCACATGGATGGATTTCAACTAAGAAATAGAATATTATTTCAAAGAATTAATGACTGTCTTAGGAGTTAAAACTTTCAATCAGTTGTTGGACCTTGATGGTGACTGACCGACTTTAACCTCGAGTCCCTCCTGAAATTCGAGATCATTTACTTGACGAGTAGGTAAAGATGGTTTCATCTGCTTCAAGTCTCCGAAATATTCTCTAAAATAAATTTCGATCCTGAAGATCCGATACCTATTTCAAGGACTGAAAAATTATATTATTACAACGCGACGTATGTCGTCTAAATATCCAAATGCTGCTGCGGTGACAGATATTTCTTCGCCATCTGTAACTGATACTTTCTTACAGATTTTCAGTCGTATGGATTTCCCAAAAGCGATACAAACAGATCAGGGGACCTCTTTTGTCAGTGCTTTGACAAAGGAATTTTTGGAGCGTTC